ACATAGTTTGTCTTAGGCGACGTCAAGATTCCAGTTTTATGGCATGCGCCATTGCTGCAGCGACAGCAAACTGAAAATGAACGCAGGTTTCCTCTGATTGTATTTTCTCATGGCCTTGGCGGTAATAGGACAACCTACAGCACAGTGTGTTACGATCTGGCGAGTCACGGCTTCATCGTTGCCGTGCTTGAACATCGGTAGACGGATTTCAGCAACTTAATCATTCTGGTTTTTGCATTTAAAAACAAATCTTTGATTTGTTAACTGCATTGCAAAGTGTGGGATGCTACCTATTAGGAACGACTAAAAGCGGCAAGAGGGTGGAAGAATGGATAAGAATTAAAACCTCTGTCTTTGATGTGAATTTTATGGGAGAAGTCCAGAGAATCTGAACTGAAATGAATCAGGCATGTTTCAAGTTATTTAGTCAGCTTTTGACCGTCAACCATATGCTGTGGTCGTCATGTAAGGCTAGACAACGCTGGAACAGCAGAATTATGCAGATTGGTATTGTCTTACCCGTTTGAAATTGTATTTCAGATTTAGAATGGTAATTGATAGTCAATTTGTAGGACGCCTTTGCTGTGTCGTAATTGGCTTTAATGGTCTTCTGAATCGCCACTTTTTTTATCTGTTATCTCTTCTAAATTGAACCTTCATGTTCTTATTAAATAACTCCACACCTACGCATTCACTGAAATTCAAGCACGTCTTTGAAATGGAGGTGAGACGCAATTGCACCATAGTTCACCTTACTGGTGATTTTACCCCTTCCCCCGTTTTGGATGATTGTTAGAAGCTTTTACCCTGCTCGATAATCCGTTTCAGCTCGGAGCTGTTTTCCGTGCATACAGTTTAATCTGTTGACATCTAGTGATCGATGGTCGCTCCAGTTGTCCACAAAAAAATGCAATTTGATTGCCTTCTGGCTTTATGGATGCTGAATTGAAAAGCAATGTAACAGCAAAATGAATAAGAGCAAAATAGGCTGTCAGTGAAACCGTTGGGCACGTACTAGGATGATTTGTGTGAATTGGCGTTTTCAGAGAGATCCTAACACGCTTTCGTCGACTGCTAGAGCGAATCAGGCACGTGATAAAGATTTGTTGCGAAAAGTGATTAACGGTATTCGTACTGTGAGCTACTACGAAGTGAGCTATTTTCTTGACATGATTAGTTTATAACACGAAGAATTGTGAACATTTATTTTAAACTGTTTGTGCTTTAACCGTCTGAAAGTGAAGAGTTTCGACTGATCGTCCCTTGTTCTTTTGTTTATTGCAAAATGCTTTAAATGAATTGTGTATTTCTTAATTTTTCACTAGTTAATTAGTTTCAACTCAAAGAAAGTAAATATGCA